CCCAGATATTTCTAATACTCTTTAACGCCGTGACTCTGTCTCACTATCAATAACATCTGCCTTATGTCAAGAGCAGGTTGTTCTCAACTGGTTTCCCTTGGCCCTGGCTCTAGCTTAGGTTCTCATGAAGAACTGGCTTCCACTGTAGCAAGGGGGCCTTAAGAACTGCCATGAAGCCCAGGGTAGTGAGTGGCACTCACCTTTAATGCTAGCACCCAGGAGGCCATGCCAGGTGGATCTCTGTGAGTTCGAGGCCACCCTGGTCTGGTCTACATAGTGAGTTCCAGGAGAGTCAGGACTACATAGAGAGACCCTGTCTCAAAGAAATCAAAATAAATAAGTCCCTGGAAGATTTGAGAAATTTAACTTACGGCGAGAATATAGGAAATTCACTTTGTTGGAATCTTTTCAAAATAATGTAATGAATACTATCTGCCCAGGAGCTCTTACCCTAGCGAGAATATCAATACCCTCTCACTTTGCCCTTTCTTGACTAGAACACTCATCAGATTCAGGACTCTGACTGATCAGTCACTTCTTCACACAAGGACTAGAGAATCATTATTCTCACATTTACTAACAACTGCTATTTGAAGGTTTTCAAAACTCTGGAATTAGAAAATTCCCTCAAAGGAGAGCTAATGGTATCACTTCCATGCATTTCTAATCTTCTAGAACTTGAGGTTTTGTTACTTCTTCTTGGCACTTTTGTTTTCACAGGATGCTTCCCTCCTCCCTCCTCCTTCCTCCCTCCTCCCTCCTCCCTCCTCCCTCCTCTCTCCTTCCTCCTCTCTTTTCTATCCTTCCTCCTCCCCATCGCCTTTGTCCATTTCATCCTGCCTTTCATTCCTTCTCTCCCTCTATTCATTCCTTCCTCCTATACTCTTGGCTCTTACATAGACTGTGTCAAGACACAAAGTAAAAGGCACAAGGATACACAGTTTACTGAAATTGATACAGTAACCGCATACACACACACACACACAGAGAGAGAGAGAGAGAGAGACAGAGAGACAGAGAGACAGAGAGAGACAGAGACAGAGAGACAGGCAATTACGTGTGCAAGATTTTCTAGGATAAGCCAGTGATTATAACCTTGTGTTATCATCAGGGTGAAAACAGCATGAATAGGGGCAGAAAGGAAAGGGGGTGTTTCATCGAAGACATCAGAAAAAGATTTGCATGAACAATCTGAGTAAATAAAGAACTATTTACAACGTAACTGAGAAATCTGCTCAAGTGTGGCAAGCCCAATGTCCTATAAGTAGTCTATAATCGAAGCACAACTAAACACAGACACTTGACAGAGCTTGAACTCTGGGGTTTGTCAGGTGCTATGTAAGACATGATAGCTGCCCCAAACTTACGGTTGTCTAGGTTTGAGACAAACTCACACACACACATACACACACTCACATACACACTTCCATGTGTACATAACAGAATAATTAACAGACACATATTTTGTCAAATTGAATTATTTCTTATAGAAAAATATCAGTCACTCAACAGTAAACTCCAGACACTGAGAATTCTTTCCTAGAGAAAGCAGAGAGCTTCACTGTGTAGAACACAGCAATGTTCTAATTCTCAACATGAGGAGGAATTTGTCACTTTCTTTCAGAACAGAAGATAACAAACCTCTTATTTTAAAATTTATTTTATTTATATGGTTTAAGGTAGATGTTCCAAATGCATAACTAGCTGTGGAACCCACCTGCTGTGCCTTTCCCTCAGCCATGGTGACTAACCTCATTGACCCACCTTCAAGGCCACAGTCTGACACAGATCCAGGGAACTGAAGGGCAAGTTTCAGGGCCTGGTCACTGACATTTTCTGGATCTGTGACTTGCCCCAAGTCATCATGTGGCCCTGCCTCCCCTAAAACAATTAATCTGTGTTTACAGTGTCAGGAATGAATTCTCTCTTGAGGAGAAGGCACCAAATCTAATAAGAAAGCATCTAGTTACCCTCAAAAGAATTGAACCACTATTGTACCGCTGGGCCCCTCTTGCCAGGCCAGTTGGTATCATAGCTCACTGGCTTCACAGTTGGGTGAGGCCACTGATGACTCTTCTCCCCCTAGCAGACTGAACAGCACATGTCAGTATTATGACAGCTAGACAGTAGGGAGGAAGCTTCCAGCTTAGTCCCAGCTTAATTTAACATATGTTACAACCAGGTTGTGTAGTGTTGTCAACAATAGAATCCTAACATCCAGTTCTGGTAGACAAACAAGAGCAATGGCAAAAGCCTGTATTTTGGGGAGATTTTTGAGAATAAAGAGGTACCTCACAGGTAACACTGGGATCTTTACTCAAAAACTTATGGATTCTAAAAATAGCATTATCTAGTCAAGTAGAATGATTCCCTTTTAAATTTTTAAAGGAAATTTTTAAAGATGTATTGTGTTGTGTTGTGTTATGTTGGACAGGTGTTTTGTCTGCCTGTATATATGTACACCACATGGTACTTTTTCAATATTGATTGAAAAATTCAGAAAAAGGCATCAGAACTGGAGTTACACAGTTGTTTGTGAGCTGCCATGTGGGTGCCAGGTCCTCTGCAAGAACAAGTGCTTCTAAACTTTCTAGCCATTTCTCCAGCCCCCTGACTCTTTTTTCTTTTTTACTTATATTTTGTAATTGTCTTATAGAATAGCAGGTTTTCATGTTGATTTTTCATGTACTCTTCCTTATGGTAACCCCCCTCCCCTCATCTCTCCCACCTCCCCACCCTCATCCCTGTTTAAACCTTCCCACCCCCACTACTCTCTCTCTCTCTATGACTGGGAAAAGTCATAGACCCTAGATGAGAACTTGCTACCGTTGTCTAGTCAAACTGACATGGGTCTTGTTGACTTCTAAACATCTTTGTCTATTGGTAGATGAATGCTACTGTCAACATTGATCTGAGAAGTTTCTTTCTACAGTAAGTAGTGGTGACCACAGAGGCCCACGCTGTCCAAGGTGCTGAGAGTCAGGGATGCCTGAGTTCTCAGCCTTAGATGGGACATTTATATCACCTCCTCTTGGCTTGTAAAATATTATAGAAGAAGCGGAGAGAAAATTGAGGAGCTGAAAGATAGGGAGGGAGACAGAGTACAAAATGTTCTCTTCTGAGCTAGACACAGTCATGAGCTCACAGCAGCCTCACATGTCTACACGGAGCCTACACAAGACTGCACTTGTCCGTATCCAGTCATGGATGAGAGAGGGGCTCACAGGGCCCTACTCACTCCGTGCTGAACTATTGGCTACTAGTGGATTCTAGGGGAGGACAGAATATTTCTCCTCTAACTGTTTTTCATTGTTGAAGGGTTCATTGGATAGCTCTGCACCCGTGGTCATTCAGATGGCCCTGGTTAAACTCAGTGGGTCACAGAACAAAACAGAAGGTGTGGGAAAGGACCTACATGGAAGGGAGGGCCTGACTGGAGTGGGAGGAAGATAAAGGAGTGTAGTGGGATAAGAATAATACAAGTGCATGCATGCATGCATGACACTGTGGGGTAAGAATAATACAAACGCATTATAACATGCATGGCACTGTCAAAGAAAAATTTCATTAAGGAAATAAATACTGAATTGTCTCTAAGTCCACCTGAGAAAGGGAATAAGTGCTGTCGTGGGGGACAAATTAAATGAGATAATAAACATGACAAGGGTTTGTAAGTAGTAAGGGGAATACAGGCTGCCAAGAGTGAGCTTAAGACTTGGATCTTTACCTAGTTGTGTAAATTCTACCTCGGGTGTGAGATTGGATCTTCTGTCAACTCTTAATTGGACATGATTTGGGGTTAGAGTGAGGTTTGATTATTTTGGGATGGGGGAAGGTTATCTTCAAAGATGTGGTATATTCTTTAACATTATTTCAAAATAGCATACTCTTTAGGGCCAAATGGGAGGAATAGGAAGAAAGGTATCCTGCTGGCAATGTTTGGGAAGAGGCATAAAGGTCATCTTTACTAAGATGATCACATGGTCTGCCTCAGCCTAACCTCACTGAAATACTGAATGTTCTGCAGTCCTCTCCATTTAGTCAACTGTTATGAGTTTTAAGATATCATATAGTCTTATGATATCTTTAACTTAACTTACAGGTTTTTAAGATATCATATGATCTCCTAATGAGTGGTTTTAACTCGGCTCATCAGCAGTCCCTGATGAGGCCTAAAACATCATGTCGGGCACTTGACAGACGGCAACAACAATGCCAGGACCACTTTCTTCTCTTGCTTTCACTTGGCCAGGCTGGGTTCATAGGAACTCATTTGTGATATTATCCAGAATACAACCAGTGCCTCTCTGTGGTCCCTCCTGGAGGTCTATAGGACCAAACATGCCTAGACTGTTGTGGCAGTTTGAGTAGGTTTGGCCATCATAGATTCATGTGTTTGAATGCTTGGCACAATTAGGAGGTGTGGCCTTGTTGGAGTAGGTGTGGTCTTTTTGGAGGAAGTGTGTCACTGTAGGGGCGGCCTTTAAGGTCTCCAATGATCAAACTCTGCCCAATGTGGGACACAGTTCCCTTCTACTGCCGGCCACAATGACATGCTTTTATTTATAAGAATTGCCATGATTATAGTGTCTCATCACAGCAACAAAATCCTAAGACAAGTATCCTCTGTGTATGCTATACTGCAAGAGTCAGCAAGGGTCTGACTTGGAGAAGCATCCCTCCTTGGCGATTCTCTGAGCAATATATTTAGGTGACTGCTACATTGCACAGTTGGAGATGAATGCCCTTTTTGTGAAAACAAAAAGCACCCTGATTTTGATGACCTACTGAAGGCTCTGGCTGAAATGGTCATCAGTACCTCTGTTAGAAACATAAAGAGCAGTGAGACTGAACCAGGGGCGATCCCATTCTTGCAGAAAGCAGCTCAACCTCTAGTTTTCTCAAACTGAAAGAGGTCTAAGGAGTCCTCCAATTGCTCAAGTAGCTCAAAGAGCAGATGCAGAAGCTAACTAAAGGTGGAAGACAAAAAATGGAGTCAGTGCCCTGGCAATGGCAAAGAGATACCTTATTTGGCGATGTTGTTCTTATATCAGTCAGGGGTAGAGCAGTTGGCAGGCCTCTGGTCATGCTAGCTTGATGCCTAGATTAGTAACCAAAGCTGTGTTGTACCTAGGTCACATAAAAATCAAACCAAATCAAGTTCAGGCAGCACATCAAGGGAAGAGGAAGACAGACAGAGACCTATGTTCCACCACGCCACTCGATGCAGGTAGGAAAAGACGCCCACAGACCTACTCTCTGCCCATGGTATGGGATAGGGCATAGACACATAGAGCCCCTCCTACCACCATGTAGCACAGCATGGGAAGAGGAAGACAGGCAGAGACCTTTGGACCACTGTGCCACCCACAGACCTGCCCTCTGGCACACAGCACCAATGAGCTGTAGACACCTGCTTGCTGCCACACCACACAGCATAAACTGGGGATGTTACCCAGGGGGCTGCCAGACTTATGGCCAGCCCACAGTGGGAGCCACCATAATATGTAACTATGGGATAGACAGACGGGAGAAAAACAGAAGTAGAGCAGCTTGAGCACTGTAAAGGGAGATGGAACTGGAAACTTGAGGAAGAGAAGAGTAGCCCGTTGTGAATGGCCATCCTTGCCACCTGGGGCCATGGTGAGGTTCCAGCCCAAGCTGCCTCTGAGGGCCATGTCTGGGTCTGTGGCTATGCAGCAGCAGGGTCTGATGTAATTCTCTCTTGGTAGTATGAGCAGATGTTCATGGCTAATACGACTAACAGAGAACAAAGGGATATCCCTGATCGGGGCAGCCACAGGGGAACATGTGGATGCCCAGGGACTATGCAAAACAGACCCTACCCTCACTGGATGGTGCGCTCTGGAGAGCTGGCCCACCTATCACCTGCCTGCCACTTGTCTGCTGTGAGGTGGCTTGTGTGCAGGGGTAATGCCCTTCCCCCAAACCCCTCACCACCAGAGGTAGTTGAGAGAGTTGACGCAAGGATGTGAGAGCAGGAAAGCTAGGCCTGCCACTCTCACTGTCTGGAGTACTTGGAAAAGTGAACCCCAGGCCTTGTAGCACAATGGAGTCATCCCTAATCTAGGCATGGGTGAACCAACCCCAAGGGTGTAAGAGTGGGAGAGCTAGTCATGCCCCATCACTGCCTACAGCCTTGGGAAAGTAGGCCCTTAGCTGGGCAGAAGAGCTGACTGTGGAGGCCTGTGTGCAGGTAAGCCAGCCCAAGGGCATGAGAGCAGGACAGCTGACCCTGTCATCTGCTGATGATGACATTAAATGGCCTCCCTGGGGCAATGCTGGAGAGCTTGCCCTGGTGGTGCTAGATAAAGAGTCGGCAGGCTGATGAGCTCAGCTATCATCCAGGCCCAGATCCAGAGCTCTGAGTTGGCCCTCCCCAAAATATATACCATCTGCAAATGGTTGGGATTTCATGAAAGGGCCAGTCTTACTGATTCAAAGCTACAGGATCTCTACAACACTGGGGAACAAAAGAATTAACTGGGAAGAGTCTAGGTGAGGATCCAATATTGATGATGTCACAGAAGTCAGAGGCCTCAAAGCACACCAGTGACTCATTGCAATGAATATGTGCAGTGGCGATGTGTGGACAGAGGGATATGCTGTGGGACACACTGTGACACACTATAGCTTCCATGATGAGATGTTTTTCTATGCTCTTTGTTTGCTTGTGTGTGTGTGTGTGTGTGTGTGTGTGTGTGTGTGTGTGTGTTTTATTTTGTGGGGAGGTTGCAAGAGCAAAGAGTGGATATGAGGGGGCAGAGAAATGAGGTGAACTGGGGTGCATGATGGGAACTCACAAAGTATCAATAAAATGTTTTTGAATAGAGTTGGATTAAGAGTGTTTTCAGATAAACAAAACCAAGAGAATTTGTCACACACAGGCATGCATTAGAGGAAACTTTGGAGTGTTTCAAACTGAAAAGAAATCACGTCAGATGAACTGACACAGATAAAGCAAGAAAAAACATGGAAGGAAAAGGTAAAGTACATGTGCAGTATTGGCCGCAGAAAGTAATCATAAATGTGCCTCATACAGCTTAAAGTACACATATGCCAAAACCATGGTGACAACAACAGTACGTAAGTCAGCAAAGATCAATGAACTTATTATCTGGGACCAGGGTAAGAGTATCAATTATTAAGGGCTGTACAAATTCAAAGCACTCAATACCATAATGATAAAAATCTTTATCTTCAAAGCTAAAAAGGCGGGATGAACTTTTAAAAGTCAATCTAATAGAAAGGAAAGAAGGGGGAAAAAAGAATTCAAAGCAGGTAAGATGAAGGAAACCAGATGAGATGGTGGAGATACACTAAAATGCATCCTGATTATATCAAATGTAAGTCAGATGAGTCCTCCCGTTGACAAAATCAGCTAGCTGGACATAAAAATGAGCGCAGGCATGTCCTCTCCCCAGGAGCTTCAGTGGGAGCATGCGTAAGCCAGGAGATTGACAGTAAAACACCTCATGTCATACAAATGCATGCACAGAAAAGGCTCAGGAGCCCTGTCACAGAGCCGTCAACAAGAACCACTAAGAGGCTACCTCATTGGGATAAAAGGCTTAATTTGCCAGCAAGACATAACATTTTAAAATTTTTATGTACTTAATAACTTAGCCTCGAAATAAATGAAGCAAGACTCTGACTCAACTGCTAGAAGAATAAACAAATCTATAAAAGCAGTGGGAGATTTAAGTACACCTCTCTCGAAATTGATACAACAAGCAAGAAAAGATAATCAGGAGACGGAAAAATCTGAGCAACGTGTGTAACAAGCCTAACCTAATTGACATATTTAGAACGCTGTACCCGCAACTGCAAATCACACATTCATGGCAAGCGTACTCAGAACACTTTTTAAAAACTAACCATATGCTGCGCTGTAAAGCAAGTCTCAACAAATTTCAAAGGATAGAAATCAACTGACTATCTTTAACTACCAGGCAATTAAGCCAGAAATCAATAAAAAGATTACTAGGAGCCCCATATGTCTTGAAATTAAGAAACATGCCATCTAAATACCTACTAAAGAAATCACAATGAAAAGGAGAATACAGTCAGCCTTCCATATCTACAGGCTGTGCATCCACAAATTTACCCAATCAAAAACTATAAACTGCAATGGCTTAACGTACACTGAGCATGTGCAGGGTTTTTTGGGTCACTTTTCAGTAAGCAGTGGCATTTGTATTATTATCATGTATTTTAAGTAATCCAGAAAATATTTAACACATATAAGAAGGTCTACATAGGTTATATAAAAAATATTACATTTTCTGTAAGGAATTTTTGGCTCGTTATTCAGTAAACAGTAGCATTTACATTCTTATTAGGCAACATAAATAATCTAGAAATTATTAAACACATACAGGGATGTCCACAGACTATATTAAAATATTTCATTCTTATGTAAAGGACTCGAACATCCATAAAAGGTCCTATAACCCATTCCCAGAGGATACTCAGGGACCACTATATAGTTTAATCGAAGCACTCAGGAAGCAGAGGCAGGTGGATCTCTGAGTTTGAGACCAGCCTGGTCTACAGAGCGAGGGCCAAGACAGCCAGGGCTACACAGAGAAACCCTGTCTCAGGGGAGTGGGAGGGACCTATAATTAAAACTAGCATCAAGCATTCACCTAAATCATTACTAGAAAGGAAGTCGAAGCTCCAGGAGACCTCACTCATGCTTTGTAATGTTTACCTTCAAAAGGCCCGTCCATACATATTCGTCAGGTCCCAAGCCTGACAGACTGTCAGTTTCCTAGATTGAACCTATCACATCCTCAATATTATTTTTTTCTTTTTTTTTTTTGAGTAAAACCTTCCATTTAAATGAAACTTATTCTTAAGAACTTTCTGAGAAGGAGTGTATGAAATATTACATTTTATAGCCCTTAACTGAATCTACAGTTATTACTTTGGATAGAGAATTTTAGCTTAAAAGCTATACACACTTATCTATCTCCCACTCCAACCCTCACACACACATACAAAAGAAAAAATGCTAGGGTTGAGCTATAGCTCAGAGTATAGTGCTTGCCTAACATGCATGAGGTTCCACAGTCAACCTCCAGTATTATGAATGAATGAATGAATGAATGAATGAATGAATGAATGAATGAAGCTTCCGGTATGCTGAACTGACATGATGCAATATCAAATTACCTTCTAAATAACTATGTCTATGGCCATTGGTTAGTGCTGCTGCGATCTTCAGTAAAAGAACATTTTTTTACAGTGCTCTGCAGGGATGAATACTAGCCAGAGTTCTGAGAATAAATGATTGTTGGATGTCCAGCCATAGATGGGACTGTTCTACCTACCTCCTCTGAAGCTCAGGGAACACTGAGGAAGGGGTGGAAAGAACTCTGAACCAGAGAAAGACAAGGAATGGTGTGGAACACTGAGTTCTGAGCATGAAGTATGAAATAGCAGGTGAATCTTGAACTTACAACTGTGATCACCTATACAGGATTGGACGGGTCACATCTTGTCATGGAAGGAGTAGAGGTTTATGGGGCTCTTCCTCTCAACTAATGGTTGCTGGCATACAGAGAGACATTTTCTTCAGTGGTTATAGGCACTTATAAAGTGTACATGCTTCTGTAAACACCCTAGTGAAACCCATAGGGGAACACACACACACACAAGTAGTATGAGGATGACTAACTGGGGGGAGAAAAAGGATTTTATGAATGGAAAGGAGGACAAGAAAGAGGAACAGTGGATGAAAGGATCAAACTGTATTATCATGTATATGAAAATATGACAGTGAAATCCATCATTACATCAATTAATATACACCAATAAAACAATTTAAATCACACTACAAAATGGTAGAAACCAAAATAGCATGGTACTAGCACAAAAAAGTCAGATAGGCAGAAGAGAGGAGCCAGAATTAAACCGTGTAGTTGTAGCCGACTAATTTCCCACAACAATATTTGAGAACGTCTCTCTAAAAACTGGTGCTGAAGAAAAATCCAGGCCTCTATTCATCAAGGTTAAAAGTCAACTTAAAATAGATTTTAAAAACGTAAATAAATTCCATCTAAGCTATGAAACTATAGAAGGAAACAGAAGACATGCTTCGGGGCACTGGCCTGGAAA